CAAAGATACTTGGAGTTGAATGTACATTGCAAGCCAAGCTTGCTAGCACTATTGTTAGCGTCTCCACCCTCCCTTCCAAATACAGTCACCTCTTGTCCCAAAAAAACAACATGGGGGTGGCCAAAATACCAAGCTTCAGACTTCAAAACCGATGGCGGCAAACCCATGGGGTCTTATATAACACAGCATATTGTTGCATTTTTTCTGGCAAAAACAAGAAACATTTGAATACCTTTAAAGTTGCTGGAATACTATTTAAAAGGTTAGACTCAATATTTTTTCAGCAGCTAGTTTATTTTTTCAACAAGGAAGTTCCTCATACTTTTTGACACATTACTATATTTGAATGAGGGGTGGTCCCTGTCAAATCAAGTCTAAAGGACCAGAAGACCCAACAACAGGCCTTGAACCGGTCCTTAGTTTTAGTAACAGACATCACAGTGCATGCATCTTACCTGCGGTGTGTGAGGAAGGTCCCGTTGGCGTGTCCGGAGCCGTCGCACCCTGGGGTGGGACAACTGGGCCCCTCTGTCTTGAAGGCCTTCCAGTTGAAGGGCGTGCCATTTAGCATGCCCTCCTTCTGCCTGCGGGCGGCCAGCGGACACCCGTAGGCGCTGCGGTGCGTGGCGTACTTCCCGCTGATGTGACCCAGACTGTCGCAGCCCGGCACCGGACACCTGCAGCGAGGAGAGGAGGGAAACAACCAGAGAGGTGTACCAAGAGGAAGAAGAAGAGTTGAAGCCAGGCAGCAGGGATATAAAGAAAGAAAGAGAGAAGGAACACAGGTTAGAGAAGGAGAATCCCACATATAAACTATAGAGAAAGTTGAGAATATATTTTACAAAACAAGTTATATACTTTCTCTACTGGGCCAAATTCATATCTATTTTTGAAATATTATTTATGAAATGAATAATATTATGAATGCAACAGCTATTCGGGTTCAGAACAATCTTTGATCAACATGCTGGTAAATTAACTGTTTTGTGTGCAAATGCAATATGAAGCCCATGTATTCTTATGTATTCACACTACTCTTTGATATTCTACCATGAACTACATTCAGAGTCAGTCAGTGTATTTCCCATCAGTAAAGATTCAGTTTGGGGGGGCAGGTCCCTACCTCTGCATATGATTCACAATGACTTTCTCTCTCTTTTTTCTTATTGCATTTTACTTTTACCGTAAGCCTCGCTAAAAGCAGAATTATGTCTTTCTGAGCAGTACGAACTTTAAAAGCTCGGAGTCCTCCTGGTTGTCCTTGGTAGGAGTTTTAATTCCACTTTTCTTGGCACGCGGGCACCCAGAGATACTGAAAACAGAAAGTATGGAGTTGATAACAAAGGGTTGAAAAAAGGTCTGTTGAAGTGATTGCTTGTTAAAGGAAGAGCACATTATCACGAAGAATAAATTTACAGAGGCTGTTCAACCAAATTACAAACCAAATCCACTCAAAACGCCCAATATGGCCAAAAATAGGATAATGAAAAGGTGTGGAAATGTGCGAGTATGTGATCCCTGACTAAAGCTACCATGAACTGTCACTAGGCCTCTCTGAATATGTGTGTGTGTGTGTGTGTGTGTGTGTGTGAGAATGTGTGCCATGAATGTGGATGTGTGAATGTGTGTGTGTGAATGTGTGTCCATGAGTGTGGATGTGTTTTTGTGTGTGTGTGTGTGTGTGTGTGTGTGTGTGTGAGTGTGTGTGTGTGTGTGTGTGTGTGTGTGTGTGTGTGTGTGTGTGTGAATGTGTGTCCATGAGTGTGGATGTGTTTTTGTGCGTGTGTGTGTGTGTTTTGTTGGTTACCTTCTGTGGGAGGTATAGTTTCCGGTGATGTGACCTGAGCCGTCACATCCTTGGGTCGGGCATCTGAGGGTTTAACATTTATAACAAGGTCAGCATAAAAAAAAAAATCTAGAAAATGTCCTTTTGCAGATGAGAGAAATGGTCCTTTGCTAATTCTCTTATTCACTCTTGTGAGCAAAGTCTGTTTAAAATGTATTCTGTTCAGGCTCTCAGTCAGTTCTTGTGTCGCTCTAAAAGAAAATCTACTTTCTAGTGAGGAGCTACAAAATTACATTTTTCATTTCACATTTACATGAACTGATTAAAGTAAAAGCAAGCATAGTCTAAGCCAGGGGGAAATAAATGCCATGACAGATACAGCAGCAGAGGCAGCAGCCAGCAACAAAAGATAAGATAACGTCCGCAGAACAAAGCATTGTGGGACGGTGTCAGTAGCGTTGAAGTGGCAGTGAAAGGCAGCGGAGGTGTAGAGCAGACATACTTGAGTTCAGGGGTGTGGGCCGCCATGAGGGACCGAAGGCTCTTATCAGCGAGAGGACACCCAGACAGACTGAGGGAGAGGAGAGAGAGCGAAGGACAGGCAGAGGAAGAGAAGGAAGAGGGGCAGCGAGTGTGGGGGGGTTGGAAGGAGAGAGAAGAAGGACGTGAGCGAAGAGAAATCAAGAATGCAAGGCATACCAAGGTCATTTAGGAAGAAGAGGACAGACGGCAAGAGGTCAATTACTGATGCATATCAAAGTCTATGACCGCAGTCGCTACCCGGGCTCACGCTACATTATTGCCTCTGGCATGTGTGGATCAAATAAAATATTTGAATTAGTCGTGGTGCGCCCACTTTGGACTCAGGTGCAGAGCAGAAGACTCTCAGTAGAGCTAACATTCATGCAAGACTTTATTCAGAGAGCACTAGAACGCTTTATCAGCCAAATAGATCTGCAGTGGAGCTCACCTGCGATGGGAAGCATAGTTTCCAGTGATGTGACCGCTGCCATCACAGCCAGGTGTAGGGCACCTGCAGGGGGGGACCACAACAAGGAAACAGAGAAAAGACAGAGGGACTGTTTTTAGAAACAGGTTTTTTTTGGAATAGGTTTTTGGTTAGAGGCCGGAAGTTTTATTTTCCATTAGTTATGGCATTCTATCATTGTTTGTATGTTAATATTAGGTCTATTTCCATTTCTGCAGAGCACTTAGACTTGTTACTTACGCGAGAAGATCTTTCTTGCTGTCCTTGGGCAGGAACTTGACCTTGAAGCTGGGGGTGGTGACCTCTCCCGGGTACTTCCTGTCCTCTAGACAGTCCTGCATCATGTCACAGTCCTCAGCGTCTGACGAGACAAACGACTGGCCCGTATGCTCCATCTGAGAAATGAGATCAAAAGGATTAACACAATGTGCTGCTAATTCCTCTGTTTATCATTTAAACAGGACTTTGTGTTATTTTGTATTTTATTATATTGCATTTTCTAGACACATTGTGAGTGATTGCTTTCTTGCAACAGCTAACAGTACGTATTTGTATACAAGAAAATAAACTTTGCAAACCCCCATGTGCACACAAGTCTGATCCCTATTCTCTTTTTTAGACAAATGATTACCAAATGCAGTGTCCTTGTAAAAAATGTACACTCAAAGCCCTTTATATTTCTTTTTGAAACAGTTCAAAGGAGTACAGATTTGCATATGCCAAAGTCAGGATGGTGCAATGCACCTGACACACCACCTCTGTTTCACAGTGCAATGTTTTAACTGTCACAGTAACTCTTGCATTTCAGTGAAATAAATGAATAATAGAAAGAGGAAAAGGGGACAGGAAATAAGGCAGAGGGATTGGAAGTGATATAAACAAGCAAGAGTTTCTCATTCAAAAAGCTTGAGGGGAATTGTGTTTATTTATGTTGCAACACTTCCTCTGTGACTAATAAGGCAGGGAATGTGTGTGGAGCTTGGGCTCAGTGTGACTCTGACCTCCTCCAGGTCCTCCTCCCTCTGGCGGTTGGGCTTGGTGTAATCCAGAGGGCCCTCCCACACCTCCTGCTTGTAGGCCGGGAGGTTCGGAGACGTCATGCCGCTGCCATCGTGATGGAGCGAGGAAGAGGAGGAAGAAGGGTCCGGGGAGCGGACCCCGGGGCTGGACAGACTTCCTTCCCTCTTGATGGGCTTCTTCATGCTCAGGTCCAGGGTGCCGTTCTCATCCACCTCGATGTCCACTTCCTGGAAGACACAGGAGATACTCAGGATCGAGGCCGTATACTATATCTAATCAACACCTCAAAATATGAAAGAGTAATAAAAGGTCGACTGCAAAGTTTAATGAAATGTATTATGTCAACAGATTATACATTTTTGTATTAGGCTAGTTGAAAGCAATAATATTAGGTTTAAATATAAAATATTAGGTTTAACTTAATATCATTTATTTCAAATAACATAATACAGTTATGTGAAATCAGTTAAAGGTCCCATGTCATGGCCATTTCTACTGATCATAATTCCATTGTTGAGGTCTACTAGAATAGATTTATATTGTGCAGTTTTCCAAACTCACATTGGTTTCTCACACAGCATCTCACACAGCATCTCTGTATAGGACTCTCTGTCCTAAACGGCTTGTTGGAGCTCCTGCCCCCCCCCTCTCTGTGAGCCCAGTGGCCGTCTGCGAGACAGCGAGACACAGTGAAACCCAGCCCGAAACACACACCCACAGCCTGGCTGGGAGTTTGTGTGTGTGCTCACCCCTCGATTCCACCGGGTCCGTCTGTGCCGCGGTTTTGGTCCGGCCTCCTCCGGCGTCATACCCTACCGGGCGCGTTTCAGAAGCATTTCAGGAGCGGAGCGTCTTGCCTGCCGGCTCGCAGTTGTTGTTGATTTGGGCATATTTCCTGGACAGGCTACTTTGTACAGACAAAGTTAATAATAATTGTAATATTCCAGTTATAAACGACATGAATCAAAGATGTGTTGCTGTATTTTAGTGGTAAAAAAAATGCATTCATCATCATTCTATATTATATATATAATTTACACAGTGCCTGTAAACCGGAGGAGAACGCATTTCTCCTCCTACTTGAAAGACTACGGAGGGATAGGGTCTGCAAATTAGTTTATTTTGGGGATGGGCCGGACGCTCTGACCGTTCCACTTCCTGCCTGGCGCCTCTGCAACGCCTTGCGTCGCCTCGAAAAATAGACTTGCATCCTATTTTGAGCAGAGTCCAGCGCCGAGATGCTTCTGGGGCGCTTCTGAGCCGTAACGCGGCGCGTCTGGTGGAATAGCACCCATTGACTAGAGTGGCCACGATCTTTGCGAACGCCGCAGCGCAGCCGTAACGCGGCCGTAACGCGACGCAGACTGACCCGGTGGAATCTAGGGGGCAGACTGAGTTCCGCGGTGTCTCGCTGTCTCGCCGACCCCACACCAGTGAGCCAGCTCACACTGTCCGCTCCTCGCAGCAGCGAGCCTCGCAACGGATTGGTCCAAACGTAACGGCTCCACGGACGTTACATTACGTCACTATACCGAAATACGTCACTATACCGAAATACGTCACTATACCCAAATACGTCACTATACCCAAGAAGTAAACGATGGAAAAAGAGAAATCTCCAACGAGGCGTTCTGGGGCAGCATAGACAGGTATTTTCTGTGTTAGAGTTTTACTCCGTGTACTTTGAGGGTTTGTGACTCTGCAGACCGTTTACATGCAGAAAAACCTTCATAACACACAAGGGGACGGGTAATAACCAGAAAAGCATGACATGGGACCTTTAACATGATACATTCAATTAAAGTCAACGTTTCAGTTTTTCAGTCTCTGAGGTGAAATCACAGACAGTACAAGTTAGATGAGACTCAAATACCAAAAAGTTATATAAAAATAGAAGGCAATACCATTTAAAGATCCTAATGGTTGGGGAAACCAAAAATAAGGGTTGCCAGTCAGTGTTTTTCTGCAAATAACAACAACAACTCTTCCAAAGTAACTTTGAATTACTGTTGCCGTTAACACTTACGGCCCGTCTACACAGCGGCATGCGTTGACGCTTGCCGGCGGGCGTGTCTGACACACGACCAACAACCAATCACATGAATCTCCCGCCCCAGACACACAAGCACGCGGTTTGATTGGCTAGAGCTTGTACTGGCATATGATTCGATTGGCTCCACGTCGCTTCCCAAAATGCAGTTCGGCTAAAAGTGACGTCACCCCATTCAAAGTGAATGGGCAGAAGTGTTGGAAGCTTCAACGCACGCCGCTGTGTGGACGGGCCGTCACTGTCAACGTAGCATTGTTCTGCTAGATGATAGCAGAGGATAATCACTGTGATGGTACATCATTATTTTTATTTGTTTTATTTAATATGGAAAAATGTGCGGCATATTGTAGGTAGCTGTGAGAAAATGAATAGAAATACTCACTAATAGACTAATTAAGTATTCTCAAATATAAATGAGTAAAGCAGTCCTCTCTGGTGCTCTTCAGTGTGAGAGGCAGTCCTGCATGATGATCATTCATTGAATTGCCCTCTTGAGCAGTTTCAGTTGCAGCGCTACACGTACCTACATCTTCCTCGTTATAACTCCATATAAACCGCTCAGCCAGGGATTACATGTCTCATGTAACAAAATGCATTTGTTTTCCTGTTCGTGCCCGTTCACCTTTATCTGAAATTCTACAATTGTACTCAAGCTAATGACAAACAAGCGTTTAGCTGTACAACAACTTTCAGAGCACCACCTTCTTGGCTACACGGAAAAAACTTGAAATCCTGCCAAGTATATTGGTCTACTTTCTAGTGAGAATATGTCTCACCACTCGATATAAGACATAATAAATTAAGAGGTAACAATGCAGTGAGATATAGGGTCTTTTTTTTTTTTTTACTCTTGAAAACATCTTATTTTGAGTTGGATCTCAGATGAAACAAGTTTGTTTAAGCTGCTGTGGTATTTGTAAAAGATGGATCTTCCTGTATCAATAAATACATCTGACTTGATTCTAGAAAAGAGAAAACTTCTGACCAGTTCTGGCTCATGTTGTAACACAACATTCCCTTATTCTGGTCAAATATAGCTCAAACAAGGTTTTCTCAGCTAATTACAAGACCGGATTTATCTAAATATCCCATCATATTTTAAGAAATCTTATCAAGCAAGTTTTCACTTGTTCTATTGGCAGATTGTATTACAAGCAAAAAAACCTTGTTTTGTTATTCTTTTACTTGATTTTTGAGCAGCATCCAGTGTAAGGCATGCTAGTAATGATATCTAATGCAGTGTGGTGATACTCTGTAGCAGCAGGCACTTCCTCTGTGATGCTGTGTTACAGAGCTGGCAGGTGATCAGACATAGAGGGGAGAGAGCAGCCATGTTTTCAGGATTCATCTAAAATGGCGCTCATATGTACTGGTCAGGGGCCAGGAAAATCAAAGGGTTATGAGAGGAGAGGAACTGGGAAGGGTTCCCAGAAATGTCCCTGGTTGATGAGCTCAGTGTTCCAATGTTTCAATATTGGATTTCAAGCGGCTGACTCCAGATCAGTGGCTGTTTGATGTGCGCTGTAACGCTGCGCTGTAGGCCTCGCTGAACAACACCTCGCTCTGCTGTACTGCTACAGACATTCATCTGGACTTTGTATCTTCCTAAAACCACATCAGGAAAAAAATGACGAAGCAGTCACTTTCTCTCCTCTGTGAGGCAAACAGTGGCTTTTAAAAATCACAATATGGGGGAAGTGGGGCTCCAATTACACCTCCTTTGCACAGAGAGGGGGGGGGAGATAGACAGAGAGACAAACACAGAGACTTGCATAGGGAGGGAGAGAGGGAGATGAAAGAGAGAAAAAAGATGTGAAAAGAAAATGAAAGAACGAGTGGCGGGGGTGGAGAAAGAGAGTGGAAGATCCGTGCGGCAGATAATGAAAAAAGGCTACCTGGTGGCAGAGTAATCCAGGGAACTGGCAGCCGTCCAGATTCAATAACAACATGAAAAGTGTGTGGGCTGGAGGGATGAAAGGATAGAAGAGGACGGGAGAGGTGATGCAACTGCATCTCAACACCATCCTGTAAGCCAAGGCCTCCTGATGATATATTCATGCAGAGCTGATGGGAGAGAACAAAATGAGCAAAAGACAGGAGGGGGGAGGCGGAGAAGAGGAAGAGAGGAGGAGAGTGAGAGGGGAGAAAAAACCAAAATAAAAGACATAGGAGGAGGAAGAAAGAAGAGGACGAGGAAAGAAAAAAGGAAAGGAAATAAAGAAAGAAAAGTGAGGAGACGAAACAAAAGGAGACAAGAGGAGAGGAGACAAGAGGAGACCAGAGGAGAGGAGACAAGGGGAGAGGAAACAAGAGGAGACAAGAGGAGAGGAGACAAGGGGAGAGGAAAGGAGACATGATGAGAGGAGACGAGGAGAGAAGACGAGAGGGGAAGGGAGGCTCGCCCCTGAAGGATCAGATGAAGGTCTGTTTCCCAACCTGCTGTCTGTGATCACCCTGTGGTTACTGTGTGGCTGCAGTACCTTGCTCTGCGGCTCGGTGCTCTGCGGCTCGGTGCTCTGCGGCTCGGTGCTCTGCGGCTCGGTGCTCTGCGGCTCGGTGCTCTGCGGCTCGGTGCTCTGCGGCTTGGTGCTCAGGTTCTCTGGTTTCTCCCAGCAGCGGGTGGACAGGTTGAGGATGGCAGTGGCAGCCATGTGAGCCGCCTCGGCATCATGGGAGTAGTCATAGGTCAACGAGGAGCTCTTCCCGTAACCGTGGAGACTGAGGCTGGGTGACGGCGACTTGGGGAATGAGGGCTTAGCTGTGGGAGGGCAAAGGTCAACGTAAGATCAGTTGATGTTAAAAATAAACACAACAGACAAGTAGACAAAACATGTGAAGCTAGAACCAATAGTTTATTAGCTTAGCTTAATGAGTAAGTAGCCTGCTACGTCTGCAGTGGTGAATTAAAGGTGGGGTAGGTAAGTTTGAGAAACCGGCTCGAGATACACTTTTTGTTATATTCCATGGAATGCTCTTAACATCCCGATAGCAATGAATATCTGAAGTGCTTTGACAACAAATCTATAAAACATGTCATCTGTGGAAGCCATAGCGCTGTAAAAAGCACGACCAATCATCTGAGCCGGCTAAAGTAACTGGATGGCCTACCTGCCTGTCAGCCTTCCATCTGGGCACAAACTTATCTCGTGCCCTCATTGGTCATGTGCGCGTTCGTGTGTGTTGGAGGAGGAGCTCTGTCAGGAAGTGGCAGATTTTTTCCGGCTGTGTATTTTCTAATTCTAGCGCAGTCGAGCTGGTTTCTCCAAAATTACCTACCCCACCTTTAAGTACATTTACCTAAGTACAATTTTGAGGTACTAATTTACTCACGTGATGCTACTTTATACTTTTACTTTAGAGGTTATTTTTTTACTTTTTACTCCAATACATTCATTTTACAACTTTAGTTACTAGCCACTTTGCAATGCATATATAAATGAATAGTACAGAATATAAATCAACCATAATAAATCATGTATTATTATTATGGGTTAAGCTAGTTAAAAATTGACAACAATGCCTTAATAATTGGAATACAATAATGTAATATTTTATTTATTATGAAATGGGCTATACTGGAAAATGAGTACTTTTTGTACTTGAAGAACACTTTATTATGCCAATACTAGATCTGAGTACTTCTTCCACCACTCTCCGTCTGTGAATGGTTTGAAAACAAATGGGCGGGGCTCTCCTACTTTTGAAGGCTTTGGGTGTCATATCGCTGCTGTGTATCTTTGGAGCCAGCATGCGCCTCCCGAACACCTGCGCGTCAAAGCTGGCGTAATCGAAGGACACCTTGGAGTACTTCTCCAGCTCCCGGGCCAGGTTGGCACGGGGGGTGCTGGGCGCCATGTCGGGCCGGTAGCTGCCGTACTGAGGCACCTCCAGCTGCTTCACAAAGCACATGGGCCTGAGGGGAGGGAAGGGAGAGCGAGAGGATGTCAGGGTGGGGCTGGCGGTGTAGAGGGGGGATTAAGGCAAAAATAAAGAAAGTAAAATAGAATAGATATGGGATAAAATTAGGCAGTGACAAAAAAAACAAATAAGCAAGGCAGAAAAAAGAGTGGGGAGAGAATGAGAGAGGGAGAGTGACACAGAGAGAGTAAAGATAGGGCCACGGTGTACTTAGCAGGAGTGCAGTAGGATTAAAAGCTCTCTTATCAGCAGAGGGCACATTTGCATGTTGTACAGCATGGAATTTATGAGCTTTAAGCCCTCTCATTTTCCTGGAGAGCCTGCGCTTTTGTTAGACCTGTTGGCATAAATCCACTGATAGACCAGGGAGAGGCAGGGGGGGGGAGTGGGAAAGAAGGAGGGAGTGGAAGAGGTCCTCCACCCACTTTTTGCCCAGCCCTTTTCCCTCCTCCTCTTCATCATGTATGAGTCTCTGTGCTAATATCTGCAGTAGCTACATGACCCGGCCTGCAGTCATTCTGCTCACATCTGAGGAGGGATTTCATGACAGTCAAAAAAACGTCCTACCACCAATCACAGGGGATTTACTCCCCCTTTTTATTTATTCAACATTAGAGCACGGATTGCATGAGGAATTCTTCACATAACACACATTCTTAGCTCATTCTGCTAACAATCTGAGGAGGGAAAACAAAGCGAGCCTTATTATGTTTTAATCCTCTGCTTTTGTCCAACCACTGATGAGCTTTTCCTCAAGGAAAGCAATTATTTCTCCTTTCCCCCCGCAATGCCCCCGTAACTTGCATAATTAGCTTATCGGCGGCATTATTAATTACAATACCAATGAGGAGGAGCGTGGACTTAGCATAATACCAGTGTCTGCGTGTGTTAATTATCATTCTTCTGGCCGGGAACTGGGCGCTGACCGCTCGGAGATGAATGAAGATAAAGAGATGTCAGTGTTGGTGACAGTAATGATCGCAGCGGCACGCTGAATGCTCCAACACCTCCTCTCTGTATCCAGCCACTCACACACAGCTCCACCTCTGAGGGCCCGCTAACAAGGTCAGCAGGTCTGAGATCTGTCTGAGCTCAGGAGGAACAGCCTGAGAGGGACTCCACTGTGGGAGAGCTTTTATATAGTGATCTATCTCAGTCTGGGGGATAGATGTGATGTCTCATCTTTAGTTGAGTTGAGTTGGTTTCATTTGAACTAATACAAATCAAATACACGTATACAAAATGTATTTGTAACTATTTTACTTCCTTATTTAGTCAGTAGTATTCAGTATTGTATGTTGGGTTGTTGGGACTTACTACACTATAGCTTTTGTACGTATTACAATAAAACATTTGAATCTTAAATAACACAAATAAATTGTTACTTTTGAAGTGACCAACCTTAGCGAGTATATACTGACTGTAAAGGTGTAGACTTTTTTTTAAAAGTACCCCTTTTAACATTTATTATTTCTTATAATTCACATTGAATATACAAAAAATGTAGTTATTGTTGAATTACTATAATTTGGAACAGTCTAATTCTGAATACAGTCTGGAAGTATTTTATTTGTTATTGTATACATTCATTTAGCAGTTTTTTTACTCTATCAAGGTCTTTAATAAGAAAGACAACATGTGAGATTATAACTAATACGTTGGTTGGTTCATGATGATCGGCTCGCTTTACAGAGCTCTCCTCCCGGGACCCATGCATTTCTTATTTAGTCAAGCGGATATCTTAAAAGGAAATATTTAAAGTATATGATAAAATATTTTGTGAACCCCACCTTAGCACCCTGTCGTTGGGACTTCCTTTGAGCAGCTCGCTGCCGGGGGGGGAGAGATGCTGCTTGTCGAGGCCCTTGGACAGCTTCTCTGCAGCGGCGATGGGGCATCCGGAGAGACTGCACGCAAAAATATGAATATCAAAAAGGGAACATGTTGCTGACCATGTAAATCTGCATTGCACTGATGTGGACTGACACATTCCCTGTCCTGCATATATGAATATTTGAGCTTGCAAATGCACAAAGGGAATGCATGCCCTGTGCATAACACCCTCATCTGCAGAGTGTAGACACACAGTCAAACACAATCAGTGTGATGTATGCATGTATGCATGGGTACCTGCGGTGTGTGTTTCTGTTGCTGTTAACGTGGCCCTGCCCGGTGCAGCCAGGTGTCGGACACTTCAGCACGTTCTCATGCATGGCCAGAACTGTGGAGAAATACACACACACACACACACACACACACACACACACACACACACACACACACACACACACACACACACACACACACACACACACACACACAAGGTTGGAGAAAATCCACAATTTCATCTAAACTCTTTTTACACGTAAGGCACTGTATGGAAATCATTTGGGGAAGGCACACCCCAGCATTATATTATTTTCCTTTGACTATGGCGAACATAAGTAAATGAATATGTAAGATACTAATAATGAGATCGTTTAAAACTGTTATGAGTGAAATTGAATAACTGAACCAGACTGCAGCAGCTCAGTGGCTGTTAAATGTTAAAATGTTATAGATTCAAGTATATTGTGTATGTGGTCGCATTTTTGTTATTAAATGTAAAGAGTAGCAACACACATGTTTGAGGACAGGTGTCTGGCAGTTTAGAGAACTAAACTAAACAAAGGGGCCTGTTTCCTCACAAACATAACATAAACGTATCCCCCCTTGAAGAGACAACTGTTTCCAGTTAGCTATATTATTTTGCAATTAAATTGAAACAATCTGGAATGACACATAATATTAGGACAAGTTCACTTTTCAGTAAGTCAAACTTCCATCAGCAAAAATAAACCCCCCCCCCCCTCCCCTTTTTCTCACCTCCCTAACCCCTCCTTTCAGTTTTGTACAGTCCCTTAGAATGAACACTAGCAGCAATCCTTTGTCAGACAATAGCAGGGAACTGGACATGTAATGTAGCCTACTTGTAGTCATGGCTACAGTAAAATGGCCTCTGATATGTATGTAAAACACGTCTCTACAGTCTACAGTCAGACGGCCAGAAACACACCACGATGCCGTGTGGACGCTGCGTTAGAGAAACGCCGATTTTGGGTCCTTAGCTTGAAAAAAGAAGAAGAGAGGAGGCGGAGCCTGATCAGAATTCTACCAGAGATAAAGTTAAATTCTGCTGTGATAAAACGCCATCCTGTTCTAAACCAAGTCGAGGATTATTTCTGAAACAGTATGGAGCTCAAATACTTTTTCTCTTGCGGGTTTATCACAAGGTGAGTTCCTTTTTTTATTTCCTGCTTTTTAAACACATGTGCTCTCCAGTACAGGTTAGCTCTGAGTGTTAGCGAGACTTGCTAATGTAAACAAAGACGAGATTACGTCCAAAACACGTCAGGCATTGTTTCTGATAGCAACTTTCTGTGGGTCCGCTGCCGATTTGACGTCAGATCGGCAGCAAATCTGTATCCGCTCGTTATACCGCTGTTTTTAAAAGATTTGGGTACGGAGGAAAAGAGAGAGGGTTTTATTTTCTGACGCTGCGTGAGTTCCCCGACGCACCGGGGACACATTTATGTTTAAAAGACATCACAAAGTGCATTTAGCATGATAGGTCCCCTTTCAATAAAAAATAATAGGGTCAATTTAAGATTATTGCTTTCAACTAACCTAATACAGTGATGTGAATTGTTTTGACATAATACATTTAATTAAAGTCAACGTTTCAGTTTTTTAAGTGTATATTTACAGAAACCAGCCAGTAAACTAAATCAAAACGTCTGTTTAGAATGTTCTTACCTGTGTACCTTTATCTTTTACATGGTGGTTTCTATATTTCTGTGTATGTTAGAGAGTGAAGCTTGAGACATTTAGGGGACACTGATGAAATGAGGAGTAGTGGTTTTACAGCGCTTGATGTGTCACTCCGGTGTGAGAGAGGGTGTGTGTTTCTCTCTGTCTCTGCCCTTTGTTGTCACTTTTTGTGAAGAACACTCACTCTCGGGGGGGATCCTGTCCTTGTGCGGACAGCCTGACAGGCTGCGGTGGTGGGGGTACAGACCGGTCACATGACCCGTCCCATCACATCCTGGGGTGGGACACTTGATCTCCCTCTTCTCCTGCCTACTGCTCTCTGGATAGAGGAAGAAAGGAGAGGAAACAAGGAGGGGATCAAAGGAGGAGAGGCAACAAGGGAGGAGAGGAAGGAAATAAGGGAGGAGAGGAAAGAGCCTATAGTTAAAGATGGTTGCATATTACCCATGACCTACATTTTATTGTTTTGATGTATTTATATTCTTGATTTTACATTCTAGCTTGTCTTTTTCTTTTTTCTTTAAGCACTTTCATTCATGTTTGTTAATCTGTAAAACCCACTGAGACGAACGTGTTTTGTGATATTGGATATTAAATAAAGTTTGATTTGACCTTTTCTCAGACCTTGTTCGGACAAAACAACACCTGAACACACATGAGGAGGATATCATGCCCCTATGATTTACAGTATCCTCTGCTGGAGGTAGGCGAGCCAGCATCTGTGTCACTGGAGAGAAAAAGCAGCGAGAGGAGGGCGCGCTGCTCTATTGGCCTTCAAATTGAATGTTAACGAGACACGCATCTCCTAATTAACGCGGAGCAGAACAGGAACGTCACCGCAGGAGGGAGTGGAGGCCAAGGAGAGGGCAGCACCAGCAGCCATGTAATCACACTACTGCTGAACTGAGAGGAGCGTGACAAGTGGGCGCCATGCCAACTGGGAAACACATGCACCCTGTAAACAAACAGTGTGTAACCTGCACATGCACATATGAAGGGCCGTGTAGGCCAAAATTCAAACTAAACTCGCACACACACTACTGAAATACTCTCACATTCACTACTGAACACCTCACACACACACAACTGAAAATTAACCTCACACACACACTATTGAAATACTCTCACATTCACTAGTGAACACCTCGCATACACAACTGAAAATTAAACCTCACACACATACTCCTGAAATAGTCTCACATTCACTACTGAAAACCTTACACTCACACACACTCCTGAAAACATTTGACTGAAAGGTTCTCAGTAGGGAATGTGCATGTGTTTCACCTATGTGTGTGAGGGGGATTCTTGCGGAAGTCATTGTAATGAAACGGAGGTACCAAACTGCTAGTGGTCGCTCTGCTAGCTCCGTTAGCTCTAGGGTGCTACAGGGGCTTCGCTGATCCATGCTGAATTGGACCTTCTGTTTCATTCTTCTTCTTTAATGGTGACTTCCAAACAGAGTAGTAGAGAATTATCGCCACCTACTGTCTCACTGCAGCATTGTTCTTTGTTACTTCCGTTTCATTACAATGACTTCCGTTACAGCAAGAATCCCCCTCACACACACATAGGTGAAACACATGCACATTCCCTACTGAGAACCTTTCAGTAAAATATTTTCAGGAGTGTGTGTGTAAGGTTTTCAGTAGTGAATGGAGAGTATTTCAGGAGTATGTGTGTGAGGTTTAATTTTCAGTTGTGTATGCGAGGTGTTCAGTTGTGAATGTGAGTGTGTGAGGTTAATTTTCAGTTGTGTGGGTGAGGTTTAATTTTCAGTTGTGTGTGTGAGGTGTTCACTAGTGAATGTGAGAGTATTTCAATAGTGTGTGTGTGAGGTTAATTTTCAGTTGTGTGTGTGGGGGGTTTAATTTTCAGTTGTGTGTGTGTGTGAGGTTTAATTTTCAGTCTTGTGTGTGTGAGGTGTTCATTAGTGAATGTGAGAGTATTTCAGTAGTGTGTGTGCAAGGCCAGGGGCCTCATTTATAACGCCGTGCGTAGGATTCACGTGGGAAGGTTGCTTACGTAGTAGAAATCCAAAAAATAGGTACAGAAATGTTCCGACATTTTCCAATTCACCAAACATTGCGTACCGGCGAGGAAAGTGCGTACAGCACTTCCTACGCCGGTTTCCCTTTATAAATCACAACCGACTCGAAATGCGGTGCAGCTTTTGTGGGCTTCACGTAACGCCCATATTTGCCTATAAATAGTCAAAGAAACGCCCATTCATTCATTCTGACTGACTTTATGAAGAAGATAGCAGGAAATGACGACAGAACAGCTAAAAAAGACATCTCACACCGTGTCAGATTTTGGTTATTTTGGGGAGGTGGAGATAAATCCTATTGTTTGGTGGATGCCGTTTGAACCAGAGTAGCAGCATGGAGGTCGGATCGTCACCAAAATAAATAAATAAGTGGTCCGAAAAAGGTTCATGACAAAATAAATACACACATCCTTCCTCAGGCAGTGTGTTTGTACCGGGGACAGGAGACCCCCCCTTGATGAGAGACTGTAAGAAATGATCGGGGAATCCCTCCGGAGTGGAGTCATGAAGACTGGATCTGAATTATGTTTTTGTATTTGGTGGTTTGTGTCCCAGCTGTCGATCAGCTGTGCGCAGGGTCTCCGCTGCAGCCTGTGCGTCTCAACCCCCCCCCCCCCCCCCGCAGCAACCCTATATCCACCAGTTAAAGGAAATACAACTAATGTGTTGTACAATTTACCACATATGGTGTTCTTAGCTTCCATACCTCCTGTGTTTTACGAGCGACTTATCAAGTCTTAGCAAACGGCATAAAACACGATTAAACGTGATAGTATATAAAACCATGCTCGTATCTACAACCTATAGAAATGCAACACGGCGTCAGTTTAGACGTAATGCTGTCCTCCTGCTTCCCGCATCATTTATGAGAAAACATTTCATAACATTAACACAACATATTCGTGGTGGTTTTAAATAACATATCCGTATTTATTTATTTCTCCAAGTTATGTTTTTGTGTGCACTGAGGAGTCTCAAACAGGCGTTTGTTTCATCATTTTAAGATTGGCTTTAATCAATGTTTGAAAATGAATTCTTCATATGATAAATGAGAGGTAACATTTTGTTTATGGTATTATTTCCACATATTTCTCTCCATTCTTCCTTCTGCCAACGGTGTCGCAGTTTCTCGTCTCTCCCGTTGTTGTGCTTAGTGCGTACGCATGGGTTAGAGTTTGCGTGGAGGACCGCACGTTTTCCCGTCAAGTTAGTATTTTATAAATCGCAAACATTGCGTAGAAACTGGCGTACGCTATCTTTTGAGCGTATATCCCTTTATAAATGAGGCCCCTGATGTTTTCAGTAGTGTGTGTGCGAGATTAGTTTGAATGTTGGCCTACACGGCCCCTCATATGCATATGTTGTCATTGCACACTCTAGTCCCACCTTTAAGCACCTTCTCTTCGTTAGTCTATTCAGCTGGAACCACTTCATCCACATCACAATGGAGATCTAAACACAGCTCTGTGACTCACCACTGTTTATTTGGTACGTGTTTATTTGTATACTCAATCCAAATGTATTTTCAGCATGTGACACTTTTTGCTGGTTCAGAACATCGTGTGACAAAATGTGTGGCATAATTGTTGTTATTGAGTCTAAGTCTAAGCTAAGCTAATCTTTTTACAGTAGTGCATATGGATACTGGGCCACCAGTCTTGCCAACATTATTTTTACTGTAATTTGAGATTAGATGAATTGAGTTTAGATTAATTGTAAAGTTACAGTTAAATTGACAAATGTACTAGTATTTGTGTTTTATACATCTATATTTTGATCTGTTTTAATTGTTAGTCTGATAGGAAATGTTGATTGTTTGTTGATTATTACGTGTGTACCTGTCCGAAGACGGCAGATGGAAATGAGCTTTTAGCTATTATCTGTCATATACAGTGGGGCAACAAAGTATTTAGTCAGCCACCAATTGTGCAAGTTCTCCCACTTAAAAAGATGAGAGAGGCCTGTAATTTTCATCCTAGGTACACTTCAACTATGAGAGACAGAATGGGGGGAAAGAATCCAGGAAATCACATTGTAGGCTTTTTAATGAATGAATTGGTAAATTCCTCGGTAAAATAAGTATTTGGTCACCTACAAACACCAAGATTTCTGGCTCTCACAGACCTGTAACTTCTTCTTTAAGAGCCTCCTCTGTCCTCCACTCGTTAACTGTATTAATGGCACCTGTTTGAACTCGTTATCAGTATAAAAGACACCTGTCCACAACCTCAAACAGTCACACTCCAAACTCCACTATGGCCAAGACCAAAGAGCTGTCAAAGGACACCAGAAACAAAATTGTAGACCTGCACCAGGCTGGGAAGACTGAATCTGCAATAGGTAAGCAGCTTGGTGTGAAGAAATCAACTGTGGGAGCAATTATTAGAAAATGGAAGACATACAAGACCACTGATAATCTCCCTCGATCTGGGGCTCCACGCAAGATCTCACCCCGTGGGGTCAAAATGATCACAAGAACGGTTAGCAAAAATCCCAGAGCCACACGGGGGGACCTAGTCAATGACCTGCAGAGAGCTGGGACCAAAGTAACAAAGGCTACCATCAGTAACACACTACGCCGCCAGGGACTCAAATCCTGCAGTGCCAGACGTGTCCCCCTGCTTAAGCCAGTACATGTCCAGGCCCGTCTGAAGTTTGCTAGGGAGCATTTAGATGATCCAGAAGAGGATTGGGAGAATGTCATATGGTCAGATGAAACCAAAATAGAACTTTTTGGTAAAAACTCAACTAGACGTGTTTGGAGGAGAAAGAATGCTGAGTTGCATCCAAAGAACACCATACCTACTGTGAAACATGGGGGTGGAAACATCATGCTTTGGGGCTTTTTTTCTGCAAAGGGACCAGGACGACTGATCCGTGTAAAGGAAAGAATGAATGGGGCCATGTATCGTGAGATTTTGAGTGACAACCTCCTTCCATCAGCAAGGGCATTGAAGATGAAACGTGGCTGGGTCTTTCAGCATGACAATGATCCCAAACACACTGCCCGGGCAACGAAGGAGTGGCTTCGTAAGAAGCATTTCAAGGTCCTGGAGTGGCCTAGCCAGTCTCCAGATCTCAACCCCATAGAAAATCTTTGGAGGGAGTTGAAAGTCTGTGTTGCCCAGCGACAGCCCCAAAACATCACTGGAGGTCTGCATGGAGGAATGGGCCAAAATACCAGCAACAGTGTGTGAAAACCTTGTGAAGACTTACAGAAAACGTTTGACCTCTGTCATTGCCAACAAAGGGTATATAACAAAGTATTGAGATGAACTTTTGTTATTGACCAAATACTTATTTTCCACCATAATTTGCAAATAAATTCTTTAAAAATCAGACAATGTGATTTTCTGGATTTTTCTTTTTCTCATTCTGTCTCTCATAGTTGAGGTATACCTAGGATGAAAATTACAGGCCTCTCTCATCTTTTTAAGTGGGAGAACTTGCACAATTGGTGGCTGACTAAATACTTTTTTGCCCCACTGTATCTGTCTTCCTTTTTGAGAAAAAAATTAATTTTATGCATGGTCCTTATTCTATAAAGATAAAATAACATTTAATAACAATCGTCTTCTGGCTCTATCTTTAGAAATAATGGACAGACACCAAATGGGTATAAATCCTGTTAAGAACATTGCCCAAATTGCCTTTATTGCAAGAAAAGAACAATTCACTCTAATCAACTTCTATCAGGAGGTGAGTCTCCTGTCTTAGAGTGTTTTTGAATTCACCATCAAGATCACGACCCTGCTTGCAGCAGCACTGCCATGTGATGCTTACATTACAAGACAAATAAAGTGGGCGTAATGTCCCTGATCTATTGCACACCTCAGGACCTGCTGCAGCTCTGGCCTACCTTTGCAGAAGTAGCTCTTGCGGATTATGTCCAGGTGCTTGGGCCTGTCGTCCATGGTGAAGTAGCGCTGGTGGAGGATGTCCGGGGCTCGGAGCAGATCTCTGGGCCCGGAGGGCTTCACCTGCTCCGCCTTCAGGGCGATGGCCTGCTCCAGCAGGCCCAAGTTCCCTCGGGTTATGTCGAACATCTCCGACTCGTCCGTCACAGTGGAGCGCTGTGATAGGCTGTCATCGTCGAGCTCGTCGTCCCCGTCCACGTCATCGAAGTCCCTCTCGGACCTGTCTGAGCGCACCTCGATGACGTCAGGGGAGACGGAGGAGCCGGCTTTGTGGATCTTAAAGTTCTGGCCTCTGAGGTTGGGAAAGAAGTCCTCCAGTGGACTGGCCCTGTGCGAGCTGAAGCTCAGAGGAGGGCTCTGCTTGTAGCTCTGAGGCGGGCTGGGTTTGTGAGAGACGTACTTGCTGAGGGGACTGTGGGAGTTGTAGTTCTGGGGGGGACTGGCCCTGTGTGAGTTGTAGT